ATTCAACTAAATAAAATGCCTGGTCATTATCCCTGTATGTAGACTGAAAATTGCACCAAATACGGATATAATGACCGGGCATGATTCTATTCGGGAGGAGACGGTAGTAAGCCCTTGGCTATTGAACTAAATCCTGAAGTCCGATCCACAGAACAGTAAAACCGCGTCGCTGAAGACTGCATCAAGTCCTCATGATGCTGCTTTTTCTTTGGTCGTATTAACAAAGATTTTTAAAAATATAATAATATCTTCATCGTAAAGAACGAAAGGAAAATACCAAGAGTAACTGTTTCTTAATCCAGCAGCCTAGCTAAGTTGTGTAAGGCACACAAGTGGCATTCAGGCAGGAGGTCTTGGGTTCAATCCCGATGGGCCTCATGTACCTTCCTGGGCAAGCTTGGCGCCCGCCACCTAGAGGTACTAGGCCGTTTGTGCCCCCGAGCGCCATTGACTGGACACTGCTGATGTTCATAGGGGTAGGGGGCTGGAGGGGAGGCACAGCGACTGGTGGCCCATAGAAGAAGCTCGGTCCTGATGCTACCGGCCGACCCCTGGCCGGTATATCGCCCACCTGCAGGTTGGGTGCAGTACCCACTCTGCATGTTCCCTCGTTGGCTGCTATGTGGCTCCCCGTAATACTATAATGATAATAAAAACGGCCTGAAAGGCCGTCCTGTCCAGATTTGACAGGTATTTGAATTGGTTGGGCTTAAACGATTTAGCCTTCAGAAAAAACAAACAAACAAACAAACAAACAAACAAACAAACATAATTTATGACAAAATTGTCCTGCCTCAACCATCCACCAGTAGGTACCAAACCTGCGCGCTGTTTCCATCCGCATCACGACTGCCGTGGTTCAACTTGATGTATCCAGTTGTTGAGCCAGAGATCGCCGGTTGGATTCCTTCCCCGTGCTGACCAGCGGAATAAGTACTGATACGTTCTTCACAGTGGTAACTACCTTCTTCCCCCGAATACAACGTACGGTCATTATAGCCGAATCTGGCCTATCGTTCAGTCTAAATACTGCTATAATGACCATACGTTGTATTCGGGGGAAGAAGGTAGCCCGGAGGTTGAACCTGGACCAGCTGACCGTGTGGGCAAATAGGGACACAGACTCTGTCGGAGGGTCTCAAGTGGTGCTGTGTGTGGAGTGTGTGTGCGTGCTGCAGCGGTGCAGCGGCGAGGTGATATCACTACCGATGCATGCTGCAGGGGTGCAAGGGCGGGGTGGTGATATCACTACTGGTAAGCTACCACTGCTGAGCACCGCGTCACAGCTGGCCAGACCTTGCTGCTCGAGCGAGCCTCGACGAAGAAACGTGGCTCGAAAGAGCAAGCTGGGAGTCTGGATTTCGGATTCCGAACCTGGTTACCTTTGTTGAGGCAGCACTGCATCATGGTGCAGTGATTGAGGCATCCAGCGGTTGAGCCCGAGATCGCCAATTTGACTCCTTGCACATTTTGCCAGAGGAATCAGTCCTGATACAGATTGCTGTACCAACAGTTTTTCACACATATAATGATCATCATGATGATATGAGCTCACATCTCGCTTGTCTGAGCGGAATGAGAATAAGCGGGATCTGCACCACACTGCCACGGTCATTCTCGAATGGATGAGGCATCACAACCCTTTCCGTGATGCTGTAACGTTGCTGTTGCACTCGTCTCGCTCAACAATATCAATCAGACTGGGAGTTTGGCCCAAGTGATCGAGCTTCGCCTAAAGAAAGGGAGTAAACTACGTGGGGAAAAAAATAGAGAAGAAATTGCAATTACCGTCTAACTTCCCCCCAATAGAACGTACTACGGTGATGATGCCTGTATATATTTGGCCCAGGGGCAACTTTCAGTCTAGTAGATGCAACGATAATGACTGACAGTGTACGTTTTATTCAGGGGAAGACGGTAGTGATATGCAGCGAGTCACGTGCAGAGTTGCGATGTAAAAACTGGACCATCACTCCTTTCTTCCCTGCCCTCATCTTGTGGGGACAGAGACCCCCCTCCCCTGCCCCCAGTTTTTGCAGACAGAGATGACGCACACTGCATGCCTGAACACCAGTGCACGTGCATGTCTGCGGATATTTACAACTGTATTCTGTGCAGAAACTGGACCAGATTCCAGTAACATCAGATGCCAAGCCCACAGCTGACCCTAAACCCTGAAACCCTATCCCTGAACAGCACCGCTGTCCTTGAACTCATCTGGCAGATGTGCCAATCTTCAAGGTGGGGACGTAGAATCCATTAAATTTTATTCGATATCATAACTACCGGTAGTAGGTGCGAAAATTCACGACATACTGTCCTTATCTGCGCCCTCGTTCTGTCTCAGAGTCCCACAGAGCGCTCCATAATCCCCAAAACCCCTTGTCAGAGGCAATGGCGCTTTAAGCAGTTGAATCCTCTGTCATCAGCGCCGGGCCTGCAAGAGTGAGTAGTGCAAGCATTCACAGGCTTTTTCTCCGAGCGTACCAATGCACGCATTCACGGGCTTTGAGCGCTTTGAGCATCAGCTCCAGGTTCGCAGAGTTTTATACGTTGCCACCGCCATCACTCCGACGATGAGTGCAACCATTCCCCACCTTAGCTTCACAACCCCTTCGGGAGAACCGCGATTCGGTGTGATGCCCTCCTCAAGCACTCCCTCGTCCTCGAGTACAGTGCCGCCCTCTCTTCGCTCCAGTCCTTGGTCGTCGTTAACCGTCTTAAGGTTGGCAGCAATTCTAGGCTCACATCTCAGCTTGTAACCTGCCGCTGGAACCGATGTGCCTTGCCGCAGGAGCTGCTGCATAGCCAAACCCTTCGGTGCCCTTCTGTCTTTTTCCGTCTGGCTTGCTTGCCTGAAGAGTAGACCTTTGCTGACGAGCTCCAGACCCTTCTCTACGCCTGTTGCGGATGGATTCAGCGTCGTATTGTGCTCCCAGTGTCTTGGTGGCGATATATTTTTATCGCACATGGCCTTGTTGCCTTGGCCACTGCGAGCTAAGCTGAATCGAAGCGGTGATCTCCCGTCGACTGATCCCTCCCTTGGACTGACCAATGAATAAATGCATGTCATATCGCAGACTCCTCTGTACTGGTCCTCCTTCTGTTCTCCATGCCTTGTTTTATGCTTTGGAGAAGTGCACGGTGGTACTTGGGCCACGATGACTTCATCACCATCACTTGATTGTGAGAAGCCTCTTCCCCATGCCGTGCTACGGTTGACGTCAACAGTAAGGTTTTGATGATCTGGAAGCTGCTTCTGAGGGTGACGTGGCGCCACATTCAGCTGGTTAGTGTTTTCACACCCAGCAGCTGCAGCAGCTGGACCAAACGGATCCTGAGTACTCCGCTCTTTGTCCTGGTCTTTGAGGAGAATGGACCCGTCCATGGTGGCTTCTCCCTCCTTACGACTAGTACGGTAACCTCGGCTATTGCCACTATTGTGTTCAGCGAAAATTGAATGATCCAGTGTTCGAGTCTCCGCGGTGGCAGCATGTTTGTTGCACAGGAGCATGTCCACACAACAATCCTGAACCTGCACTGACCTTAAGCATCCAGCAGCAATGCACGGCCGAATTCCGTGCACACCCCCGCATTCATCGCGAATCATTGACAGAGGGCAATCACTGATCGGCAAACTATCCGTTTGATCTGTGGTAGCATCATCTTCTTCCAAATTGGTAGATGACAATTCAATGTGTATAGTAGTCGCCGCGGTGCACCCCCTGCCTTCACAGCTTTGCGTAGTGAGCCAGCTAGAGTTTGTAGAAGAGTTGTCGCTCATATCTATGGAGCCGGATCGCATTGCACTTATGTCCTCGCTTTCTTCGGAACTTGCATCTCGGTCCGACGGAATACTGCTATCGGCAAGAGCAACGACCCGCTGATGGCCCCCTCTCATTACTCTAGGACCCACCGCAAACATCGATCTTACTGCCAATCTATCAGATAGAACTGCGGCCGCTTGATCTTCTTGAATCTCTGTTTGCCTTCCTTCCACCACTGCCACAGATTTAACCATCGGTCGCTCAGGTTGAACTGCTGGTCTGTCAGCTTTGGGCTCCTCTGGCCGCCTTTGCGTCGATGGCGAGTCTCCAGGACTCGCAGTTGCATCAGGTTTTATCTCTGCCAGTGGATGCCTTCCTTTCTCTCCCCGAGGACTCGGCGCTGGGGAAGAT